TTTTGTACAGTATTTTAGTATTAACCTTTGTTGGCATTTCCAGAGGTCAAAGGTTTCCTGTAGGTTTGCACTGCAGGAGGGATTTTGGCCCATTCCTCCACACAGATCTTATATAGATCAGTCAGGTTTCTGGGCTGTCGCTCCCTCCATAGATTCTCTATTGGGTTTAGGTCTGGAGACTGGCTAGGCCACACCAGAACCTAGATCTGCTTCTTCCAGAGCCGCTCCTTGGTTATCCTGGCTGTGTGCTTCGGCTCATTGTGACGCTGGAAGACCCAGCCTCCACCCATCTTCACTGCTCTAACTGAGGGAAGGAGAATCTGGAAAATATATCAATCCAACCCGAGAAAACCTGAATCACTGATTTTGATTTCATGAAATGTTTCTTTTTTAACCAGCGGTGTAGGAGGACATTATACAGGAGGAAACTAATACAGAATATCAAAGGTTGGTTCGTCAAGAGGAAAAAATAAAATTAAATGAACGAATTGGATTCAATTTGTCAATAACATATTTTGCTTTAACTGCTTTTTGCTTTTTCAGGTTCCTTTATTCTGATGTTGTTTTTGTTTATGTTCTTTTTCCCTCTGAATTAAAGCAGAGGACACGTCATTGTTTCCTAACAGCTGATTGGCTTCTGGGTGGAGCGTTTTCTAGGATTCGTATCAATCCTGAAATCTAGCCAGTGTGTTACCATGGTGACCAGCCTGTCAAAGAATGAAAACCCTAACCCTGACCTTTAGACCTGAGGTTTTTTTAACGAACCTCCAGGATTCTCAGCTAAATATGAATCATTTTATAAAGTTTGATACATATAAATTTGTGATTTCCAGCTCTCTATTTTCATATGAAGTATAATATTTAATCTTTATAATGTGATGAAGGTCAGAATGGGAGGAGTGACTCTGCCCAGATCTCAGAGAAGCTCCTGTTTGTGAGGAAGGCCGTCACCATGGCAACGCACAGATCACACAGGTTTGTTTGTTTTTAACGGCAAGGCAACACATTAGCTGTGCGTGTTTGAAACACATAAAACATTCACACCTCGCCCTGCAGCTACACCTGTGCCTCACAGCCAATCAGAGAGCAGCACAGACACCTGATACTCATCTTCCTCTCCTGTCAACAGAAGCAGCATTATGCAGGAGGAGCTGCAGAGCAGGTCTGATGAGTTCATAGGCAGCACTGACCCGTCTCTGAAGATGTTTCTGCAGCTTTGATCTATCACCATGAAGCTATGATGATGATGATGATGATGATGATGATGCTGTTTCAGGAACAGAACAGAACCAGCTATGATTTTCTGATGCAGATTCTGAACACTGTGGAGCAGGGAGGGGGTCAGCTCAGCCCATCCTCCTGCTCTAATTATCTCAGCTGTTTTCGCCTGCAGTCAAAGAACAGGGCGTCAATAACCCGCACCAACGCATTCTCATTAAGAATTAAAACTCTGGTCCTGGTTGCTGTTGGACCTGTGGAACAGGTCTGTGATTCCTCTGCAGGGAGTGGCTGCAGGAAGGGATATAAGACCAGAACCCGTCCTGCTCCGCCACACGCTCATCACACTCTGCAGCAGACATGTCTTTCCTATCTAACATTCCAGGAGGCGACGGCATCGCCAAGGTTGCCGGGGAGAAGGCAGGTGAGTCTCCGCGGGCGAGGGATCAGCAGTTCCGCTGCTAAATATTTCAGCTTTCAAATCATAGATTTAGGAGGTCCTTTCATTTCAAATATTTATGCAGATTCTCATAATTCTACTACTTTATTACTACTAATTCTACTACTTTATTACTACTAATTCTACTACTCGGCTTAATTCTCCACTGTAGAAAATTTGATGATCTTCAGGCTGTTTAATGGAGGACCAGCTGCTCTCCACTGGAATGATTCCTCTGTTTCTTTTAGCACTGGAGATTAAAGTTTGACTCAGTTCTGTAGCAACATTTAAGCAGGGGTCAAAGGTCAAAGCCCAGGCTGCAGCAGACTGTGCCCTGAATGATCTCCATGATGGTTCTGGTTCTGTCCAAACTCTGAGCTGAATGAAGTGGAAGGAACGGATTATCGGATTAGTTCTGATCTGTTAGATGTTCTGTTTAGTTTATCGGCTTGTTTGTTTAGTTCTGAAGGTCTGAGTTCGTCCTTAGCTTGTATCTCCCGTCCACATCTTTGAGGCGCTTAACTCTGCTGCACCAAGAAAAGAAAAAAAAAAAAAGCAGCTACGGGTAAACAATAAAATAAAATAACAAAGCAAAGAATCGGTGCGAGGAAACTAAAAACAGACGCTGTAATGAAAGTGGTGAGGAAAAGATGGAGGACGAGATCCTGTGACCGTACCTGGAGGAAGCTTTGATGTACAGAGAGAAACGGAGACGGCGTCCAGATGCAGTGCAGACTGGGTTTAAATGCTTTGATCATAGCAGTTTATAAAACTTGATCAACATAAACTTTATTCTGAGTTTACAATATAGACAATTTTAGCATCACATCAGTAAAGTATAAAACAAAATGTCCACCGTAGTTCTACTGACGAAGAAATCAAACGTCCACCGTCATCAGAGCAGTATTCTGAAAGGAGCACTTCTACTTTTACTTAAATAATCTTGTAATACCAGTACTTTTACTTGTACTTTAGTACAAATCCTCAGTCCTTATTCCACCTCTGAGCTGCAGGTAGGGGAATCTTCCCTGCCGGGTTTCATCAACGTCTCTCTGATCTGATCCCAGAGCAACGAGCCTCAGCCTGAGCTGTTAACCACAAACCTATAAAACCATCCGTTCTGGAACATTCTGATCGTTTTAGCTTCAGGCGTCTCCAGCAACCGCCACACCCCAACCTTTTTCTCTTTTCCTTCCCATCGACTATGTGGGCGGAGGACCGCCTACGCCGCAGGAAAACCTCTGCTTCACCAAACCAGGAAGCTAAGCTCGTCTAAAGTCTGATTAGATCTTCCTTTAGCAGACTCAGGCTCACTCAGACTCAGTCCCTGACTGAGAAGCAGAGCTTTGGACCACGGCTGCAGGAGATATTTTTATAAGCTCTAATGTGAAAGGAGACGGATGCATGATGGAGATCAGGCTCAGCGAAGGTCAAAGGAGGACATGTGGGAGGAGCCACAGTGATGGCCACACCCACCTCCTCTACCATAAACCCCAGCTCTGATAGATTTATATCAGCCATGGTCCTGTGAGTTTGATAAAACACTATAAGGCCAGCCTGATCCAAAATGGCTGACTTTATGCTAAGTATAGGTCCAAACGCTCGTGAACATTCTCAGACATCCAGGTCTTAGTCGTTACAAAAAAAAGGAACACTAAAATTAATCCACTGGACTTTATTTCCAAGTTTGAAGATGTTTCATTTCCATCCAGAAAAAGCTTCCTGGATGGAAGCGAAACGTCTGCAAACTTGGAAATAAAGTCTTTAATTTTGGTTTTCTTTTTATAGGAGCAAACAGGAAGCTGCTCAATGTCTTCTACAAAACACGTCCAGTTACCTGAACTGAACTTTCAAGCTTTTGCAGGTCTCCTAACAAGTCCTGTCGTGGGACACCTTTAACGAGCAAACCTTCAGGTTTTCACGCTGGCATTAGGCCTGTGGGCGGGGCTAATGAAATACCCAACAGGAAGGAAAAAAAACTATTCGAACCTTCACTGAAGTTGAGCTGTGAGCTGAAATAGGTGATCAGGAGATGTTTGCTCACCTGGGCTTCTTCTGCAGGGGAAATTGTGGAGCAAGGAGTGAACAAGATCATGGGAGGAGGAGCAGATAAAGGAGGTCAGCAGCAGCAGCAGCAGGAGGGGGAGAAGAAAGAAGGAGGTGGAGGAGGCTTTGGTCTGGATGATGCCCTCTCAGCGGTCGGCGGCAATAAGGAGTCAGGAGGAGGAGGAGGTGAGACGTTTACAACTTTTACTCCAACGTTTTATAGGAATAATTAAACTATAAGAAAATGCTTAATGAGGACCAGCTGATCTGGATCACATCAGCCTGACATTCAGGTGATCAGTACAACCTGGCTGGTTCTGGGCTGATAGGGGAGTGCTGCCCCCTAGTGTCCACAAGGATCCACTGAGCCTGGAACACAACAGTTCCCTCCAGAACCGGAAGAGGAACAATTGGGACCAATAACAGAAACTTTTCCTTTAATCTCACAGGATTTATTAATGCTCCTAAACCGCTGATTAAACAGAAACACTTCCTGATATGTTCTGATTTATTGGAGCTATGATAGTAAATGATGAATAAATGTCTTTGAAATGAAATTATTTGTTTTACACCAGAAACAAGATTTCACATCAATTCATAGTAGATGAGGCTCATCTGGAACCAATATGGATGAAATATGATCCCAACTCTGAGTGGTTTATTATTAAACATTACGCCACCGTTTTATCATGAAAATGTCTCCAATAAATGAACAGTCAGTTCCTTCATGCATCTCCATGTTATCTGATGGCAGGAGCTCCTCCTGGAGGTGTTCTAGGTCCTGTTCTGTGGATCCAGCTCCTTGTCTGATGCTCAGCTCTGTTTCTGTTCCTAGGTATCGGCAATCTCGCTGGGGGGCTGTTCAAGTAGAAGCCTGGAGTCTTCATGACCTTCATCCACCTGAAACCTGCTTATGGCATTAATCAGCTTTAATATTTTATTTAATTTGTGTTTGAAAAAACTAAAAATCAGCCTAATGCACTAAATCCTCCTGTGAAACCAGTTTAATAAACTGTAAAATATATAATTACCTGATGTCTAATGTTCAGTTATTGCTCATTGATTGTTCCCTTTATGCTTGATTAAAAAATAACAGGAAATAAAGTTTGGAGGGTGGGGCAGCATCTGAGGTAGTCATGGAATCTGAACCGGTTTAGACTGCTTTGATCCAGTTGAACTTTCAGAGTTAGCAAAATTATTGTCTTCATCTAATCCTCCAACTTGGATG